CACCCTCCCTCCCCCCCCACCCCCGCACTGTAGGGTTTATATACACTTAATAGCTGACGGGAGAGGAAGAGATAGTTTCTTCAGTGGTGTAGTCACTGGTAGAATGCCCACGCTCCTGTAAACAAACTTCGCCTATGCTCATAGATCCAACCCTAATGAAACACACTGGAACACACACACACACACACACAGAGTCACACACATGTCCATTCACACACAGCGATACACACGTACACACAGTCTAACACACATACTCGCACACACATGTACACGTACACAGTCACACACACGTACATTCACATGCCTAACATACACACTCATGCGCACATACACATAGTCACACGCACATGTACAGTCACAATACACACAGACTCACAGTCTCATACATACGCACATACGCACATACATGTACACTCATATACACTCACACAAGCACACACATGTACACACACATACATACTGACACACTCATACACACAGTCACACACACAGGGACACATACATACTCACACCCACCCACAAACTCACACCATGAAAGTAGAAAGAGAGCAAGAGAAGAGGAAGATTAATGAGGGTGGGATTGGGGCTAGAGAGGGTAATGGGAATAGGGTTGAATATGATTGAAAAACATTACATATACACATATGTATGAAAATATAATGAAACCTACTATTATGTATAATTAGCATATGTTAATAAGAGACATTAAAAAAAAAACCTAAACTAAGCAAACAGATAAAGGCTATGGAAACTCTCCAAGTTGCCATGAAAGCATCCTCCATTATGAGGTGGTCACCAGTCGGGGGCAGAGTATTGTGGTTTGAATGTAAACTGTGCTGTATAGATTTGCTGGTGACACAGACCGGGGATGAAGAGGGAAACTGGAGATGTTGTTCCTTGCCTGTGGCTCAGCAGCCAGAGGCTCCTTTCCTCCTCAGGGATCTCATCTTGAGTAAAACCTGATCATTGGTTTTGCCTCGGAAAACAATTTGAAAAAGAACCAGTATGAAGCAGAGCTGAAGTTTATTAAAAGCCTTAAAAAATCGATTTAAGAACATCAGTTCACCGACAGAGACACTGAGGGAAAGAATAAGGTACGGTACGTGTGAGAGGACGGGTGTGGGCTTCTCAAAGGTCTTCGCAATAGTAACAGGCAAGATTTGGGTAACTTACAAAATTATCTTAAATGGTTGGTGAGGAATTTCAGTGAAATCATGGGGTAGTTCCTGAGGGCCAGCCTAGGCTTGCAGTGGCTGGGGTGAAAGTATAGATGACAGGAATGCAGGAAGCTGGGGCACATTCCCTGTCCAAAAAGCTAACAGTCAACTCTACGAGAGTTCCAGAAAACGCCAGGGATTGAGGGGAGGGAGCCAAAAACACTTAGGCCTGGTGCCTGGCTTGTTGCTCTTTTAGCATTCTCATTCTCTACAGAAATATTTCCAAGTAAAAGAAGTGCTGTGTCTTTAAAAGTTTAAAATGTAAGCCTTATTACTGTTTTCAGTTGTACATCTGCTCTGTGGTGTCAGTAGGAGACATTTGGAAGAGGAGACCTGCCATTAAACACAGAATAGGAGGAAGCTAAAAAAAGGACAATGAGCACATATGTAAATATTGTGACAACAATGGTCTCGCTGAACATAGAATTAAGATAATAACTGGATTTGATAAGTCCTAATTATTTCTTCTGATCTAATCCAATCCAATCTCCCTGACCTTATAATTCCAGAGAGACAACAGAGGCATCTCAACCATTTATTGTTAGAAACACAACGACTCAGAAATTACAAACTGTCTTAAAATAGTCAACAGATGATGAAGCAAGGACCTAGCACCCAAATCATCCCCCGATGTTTATATATATATATAAAAAGCACCTTGTCTTTAAACACTGCAAAAGGTGGTAATGAGAATTTAAAAATTGGAAAACAGTTTAAGAAAAAATAAGTTAAAGTAAGTATATTTTGGTTATAAAGTGTTTATACAAATACAACTCAATGGGAGGGAATATAGGGAATTAAAGAATAAATTATTCAGCATTTTAAAGTATTTGGTGGATGGTCAGTTGATCTACTCGAGTTTCGTCCTAACACAAGTTGAATAATCTGGAGGCAGAAGGCAGACTGAATTTCATGGGTGTGAAAGCTGTACTGTGAACACCCCAGGCCAACGTGCGATGGAGCCTACAAACACTCTTCCGAGAGTTGGGGTTTGTTAAGCACATTGGAAAGTGTGCCAAGCACTTAGGAGTTTACTTGGATTTTTCAATGTCTGTCCAAGAAACGATAATGCTTTTAAGGTTCTACTAAAGTCATGTAAGACACCTTGATGTCAACCAAATCTTGGCATGGATTCAGAAATAAGTGTTGTAACTGAAACTACCTGCTTAACATAGAAAGGCGATTTTTGAATGTGCATAATTAAACTTCTGTCAGCACATTACAACAAGTGAAACAGAACACTCACTAAAGGTAAACAGCATGATATGGACATTTCTGGAGTTATATGTCAAAATCAGCTGAGCATGTCATTTGATTCATGTTCAACAGTAAAGCATTAGTGACACAATTGGCTCTGCCTTTGGGGCCTTCCTCTTCAGAAAGCAAGATGCTTTATTGTGCTTTATTTTCAAACCACACATGAATAGCATGATGGTGATATTTACTTCTTCTTTTGGTTGAAAGCATGTTGACTTAAGAGTCAGCCTGGTTAATGAATCACAAATCTAGCTATTTATTTGCGAAAGGATTCTCTCTCTCTCCTATGTCTGTGGAGCAACACCCGTGGTTCACATTAAAGCACTGAGTGAGATCCTGCCGAAAGGCCAGTCATGAGCAGCTACCTTTCAATGATGCAATGATTTTTTGAAAACAGAATTGTAAGATGCAGGACTAAACAGAACACTGTTGTACAACCTTGTAAGAAATAGTTTGATCTGAAGTTAACTTTCCTGGGAAACGGAGACACGTCCTCCATTTACAATTTTATTTTCCCAGATTTCATATGCTTGATGAATTCTAATCATATTTTTAAAAGATGGCCATATTGTTACTTGTTAGACAATAATAATAATAAAAATAAACAAACTCTGGGTTTCAACCAGGCATCTAAGTAAAGATACAACAATATAGCACATTAAGGTAACAACTACACATTCCTTTGTATGAATGAATGAACGAAGGCAGGAAGGAAAATTGTAGTATTTCTATCTGTTCAAACTTCCAGACCTAGGTATCTTCAAAGATATTTCAACAGATACCTTCTGAATTTTTGAAAATTACATATTCTCAATGCATTACCCCAAATTTTAGAACAAAATAAAAGAAAGACTCTTTGAGTGACTTTATTTACACATCAGCATTTTGGCATGCTCCACATTAGCAAAGTTTTACATGTTCTATACAGGTAAAATTAGACATATTGTGGCCTTTAAAATATTAGCCACATTTGCTCTTATACAGAACAAAGTAGCTCTTGCTGGACTAATCATTCACCCCTAGATCTTTGACAAATGCTGGAGGTTCTGTAACACTCTGAGAAATGATAAATCAGGAGAAAACATCTTTAAAAGTTGTATATAATTCACAACTCCAGGGCCAGTATTTTCTCTATTTTTATTTTGCCATATCCCATCTCACTTTAGTGAGCTAATTTTAACACTGAGTTTAAAAACAAGAAAAGATTCCTCTACCCTGCAATAGTAAATGTACCTGTCTCTTAGAAGGCTTTGATTCTCCTAAGAGATTTTAAATCAGGTAACACCATATGGCAAACACACAGAAACATCACATCATAAATAGAACATTACTAAATTTCAAAGCTAGAAAAATATATCATACGATAACTTGTAAACCTCCTTTACATCAGAATACCTAGAAGCCAGGAGATTATTGACAAATCAAATGAAGAATTTCAAAGTTGTATTCATGAAATATTTTAGTTGAGGAATGAGTTTGTCTAGTTACTATTTTACTCTGTCTAAAGTAACATTACTTCTGGTAAAGGGTCCTGGTTGATCACTCCCAAATGGCAGTAGAGGGCCATTCAAAGAAAAACACTAATCTCAACTGTATCTAATAGTATAATAGTATGGTATTCCTTTCCTGAACAAACAATTCTTTTCTAACGTTCCCCACTTAAGACAGTTTTCATGTTCTAAAACCCCCCCTCCCCCGAGAGTCCCTTAAAAATTAGCCCAGGCTTAGCCATACTATAAGCTTCTTCCCGACAGCTCCGCTTAAGGAAACTATTTTAACTTCGGAGTTATGCGCTGAAGAGCTGCACAGGAAAGAGTGTCACTTACTGCTGAGACTCAAGATGTAACACTGTCCAGTCTGCGAGAGCGGGAGGATTTAACATCCTCCCTAGCAAGCAACATTCTTCAAAGTCACACCTACAAACACAGCTGGAGCCGGGGAAATCCCCGACTCCACGGAAGACTTAACTGAAATCCCTTCTTGAGTTTCAGCTCAGTTTGTGTCAAACAAGTCTCACTTTATTGGTACTGTCTATGGGGTTTTCCTTCTAGGGCATATTTCTTTATTTGAAAATTATTTCATCAAATGCAGTTTAGATGTGGTCAAGGTAACGCTAACTGGCATCTTATGGACTTAACTGTGCAGTTAGAATTTTATTAACCTTAGCCTGAATTTGTTGGAGGGTTTTTAACTGTATTACATGTGAAGCAGACAAGGTATATGTGAAGAAAATGTCAGATTTTTCTCACCTAAGTGATCATAAGCTACACACTGAATCTTTTTGTTAATTTCTGAGTAGCAAGAAGAATTCTTCCACTTGCCATTTAAAGCCAATGCTTTGACATTAGCCACATTTTATTTATTCAACATGCTGGTGATACCCTACAGGGCTTACATATTTAAAAACAAAAAAACCCCAAAACAACCCTGTAGACCACATAGCCACAAATAAGACTATACTTCAAGTTCACTGTCATGATTTCATTACTGTTTAATATAAGATAAATGTTTATCAGTGCTAGGGAGCACTCTCCCCCTGGTGACGTGTCCATTTATTATTTTTACTGTGGCTCCTCACCTTTCTCCACAGGTCTCCTATAACCTGCTCTGCATTACGAATTGCACTGTTAGATGGGGGGGGGGGGCAGGAGTTGAAGGTACATCACAGTGGTGATGGCGAACAGCACTGTGGGACCCTGACTACTTGGTATACTGTACCGTACTGTACTTTGTGATTCGGCTCCGAGCCATGCTAGGAGAGGCAGATCCAACTGTCTGGCTAAAGTGATGGTCAGAGGAACTCCTCATGTGGCCAATAGTGGCTGTCCCTCCCATGCTGCTCATGCCCCCACCTCCACTAAAGCTGCTCAGGCCGGCGCCGCTACCACCCATTGTGGTTCCACTCAGAGCCTCGCCGCCAGCACCCATGGTGGTGCTGACCAGGCCACTGCTGCCTATGCCTCCAACCCCGCCTATTCCAGCGGTGCCACCAGCTCCAGAAACCACCCTCTCTGTCACAATCACGTTGTGGGCATTTGATAACTCAGGGGGCATGCTCAGGTTGCCTATCAGGCCAGAAGTTGGTTGGATCACTCTTTCTGTCACAACCACGTTTGAAGACTCTCTAGGGTTAGGAATGGTCAGAGTGGTGGGTAGGCTTGTGCCTGGTGCTATTATCCTTTCTGTCACTATGACATTTGATCCATCTCTTAAGTCAGGTATGTCTACCATCCCATGCAAATCAGCACCAGAGATGGGGCCCACCACCCTCTCTGTCACCACTACATTTGAAGCCTGCCGGTTATCAGGAAAGTAGACAGAAGGCTTGAGAGTGCCGGAAGTGGCGTAAGATTCCATCACAGTGACATTACCATAGCCAAGAGGATCAGGAATTGGCATAGGATTCTGCACACTAGGGCCAGTGGGGTAGGTGTTCTCAGAAATTACTGTGGTAGTGCCAAAATGTGGGGAGATGGGTGGAAGTCCACTAGCCAGGTGCTCTGTTTGCTGGGGGCGTATCGGTTCGGTGCTCTGAGGAGGCCAACAAGGGTCAGGGTCTGGATATGAGTCTATTTCTTTCCCCAGGCTGATATCTGCCAACTTCTTAAACTTGGGCCCCAAGGTATCCAGGAAGCTTTCATCTAAGTCTTCTCCAATGAAGCTGCAACAGCCCACGGAGCCTGCAGGGGAGCCTACACCTTCAATGTCATAGATGAGCAAACAGTCATTGGATGGGCGTCCTTCATCTTCATCAGCATAAGCATAGGCTTTCTAATTTGTATAGAAAAAAGAATATTAAACAAACAATAACAATGTGTTTCTTTAACCATTAGATGAACGTATCTAAGTTCTAATATTTACTAGATCTGCTTTAAAAAAGATTTCAAAGGTACTTGAAAGAATTCAGTTTGGAGTTATTTTAGCTATAATTCCAATACATTTTGATGTTTAAAATTTTCTTTAGATGACCTTGCTTAAAATAGTGCACTTTGAATACAAAAATCACATATAAAAATTAACACATCATCTATTTTATTACTAATTTTGAAAGAGGGAAATAAAAATAATTTGCACAAAAAAGTTACTGGGAGGAACTTCTTTTGGTCCGAAAGGAGTATTTATAGTTGGCAGGTTTAGTCAAGATTGCATTTTCTTTCACTTAGGCAAGATAGTTTTTGTCAATATGAAACAATTTCATTCTGGATTCAGGTTTTATTTGGCAAGATCATGTCAATAATTTAATAGTTAGAAAAAAATGGTAGACATAAACTAACAAACTTTTAGTAATGATAAATTTTATAAACTGTGTTTAAAAAAACCCAACACAACAAAGTATGGAATAAACTTGAATCCTGTTCTAGATGTGAGAATTAACTGCTAAAGCTTCAGAGTGCTGATATTTGAACTGAATCTTGAAAGGTAGATAGAAATGTGTGCGAGAGGAGGAATGAGAAACAAAGAACAACAACAACAACACAACATTGCCTAGTGGACCAGAATAACCAGAGGCTCGAGGTGAGCCCTCTGTGGATAAGGCAAGTGGGTTGACGCAGAGGGAGAGTTGGAGCTGTATGTTGGCATGTGAATCATGGATTTGGACTACAAATTAGAGACAAATAGAGCCATTGGCAGTATTTATGAGGGAGAGTAAAATGCTCAGGTCAGAACTTCAGAAACACTCAGCAACAAACAAGTTGTAGAGATCAGACCACTGCCAACACCCTCATGGGAGTGGGTGAAAACTTGGAATGAGGGAGATAGAAAGAGAAGCATGTGGCTATGAGTCTTACCTGACAGAAGTAACTTTCCATAAAATTCATGTTGAGACCTCCATCTCTACATTCTCTCATTGAATTTCTTCTTAATGTTCCTGAATATTCTTGGCATATCTCAGGTGCAGCTGATGTTTTAACTCCATCCATCATCTCAAATCCTGTAGTTCTTTCTCCTCCTCCCAGATCTTGCATTTCTCTGCCACAGTATTCATTTGTATAAACTCCTTAAGACATTGAACACATCAAATTTAACTTTTCTAGTGTGGTATAAACTAAAAACTAACTTACTATCATGATACAGTTTCCTAATTCAGGTATGCATTGCAAGCAGAGATGGAGATGACACATACAGGAGGGATAATTATGATATTAACTCAAAATAATATTAATAGAGACAGAATAATATAATACATTAATAATATTAATCAGTTTGCTGTTTTTAATTATCTGTTGACAGACTTTTCTATATGATGTGCCAACAGAAGTGCAAGGAAATAATAAAAATCTGTGGGCTTAACAGTTTGATCTCAAATTGAGTCAAGTTGAGTTAAGTTTCTCCAATTCTGAAAGTTAAATAATAGTATCAGTATACTCCTGATGCACTCCTGGATGTCATGGCATCCTGCAGAAGGCATATGAGCCACTGAATTTTAGAAAGAGGCCATAGCTACAATGAGAAAAGTGGTTTCTGGAGGTATCGTGGGTAAGCAGTTGAATGTGAGAGATGGGAAGAAGCATGCTAAATGCTTGAGGTGGTGGAATAAAAGTTGGTGGTCAGAAGGGGTATTCCCATGGCACAGCCTTCTAATTTGAGTTTGGGGAAACATGCTTTTTATATTCCAATTATCCTGATGCATTCCATGCTACTTTAGGATTTCTATGAGACTTCATAGACTTAATGAAAGAATTAGGACATAGATAAATATTGGTGGTTTAGATGAGGTGATGGGTCTCAGGAACTAACTGTAGACTAATGGCGGAGATGTGATTTTCTGCATGGGGAAATATTGGCACCATTAACAAAAACAGACACACCAGGAAGAGAAATGGGACTAGTGATCTGTTATACAGAAGATATACAGACTATTGAATCCAATTCTACAAAATAGAAACGTTTCTATGTCTGGAACATTTTAGAGTATTCAAAGTAGAGAAGTAATTATATAGGGTCTGCAGAGATGGTTCAGTGGTTAAGAGCAGTGGCTGTTATTACAGAGAACTTGGGTTCAGTTCATAGCACCCCCATAACGGCTCACAACTGTCTGTAAGTTCAGCTCCAGAGGATCTGATGCCCTCTTCTGGCCTCCGTGGGTAGTGCACACATTGTTCACAGATGTACAAGCAGGCAAACATAAAATAAATAGCATAAACAAATAACCAAATCTTTAAAAAGTAATACTTTGTGAAAAGACTAAGAGAAAACTGAGAAAAAGTAACATTTGCTTTTAAAAAATAAGATAGTAAGACCAAGACCATCTTTCTATTCTACTGACTATGTCTACTGACAGAAGAAGTTATTTTAATTGTTCTTTTATTACAGCAGTAGCTTTCTGGTTTCTGCTTGGGAATTAGTCTAGACATTTGCTTCAAGCTAAGGTGTAGATTCTTAGGACTGTGCAATGAAAACTCCCCCAACATGCGCACCACTTTAGCTGAAGGCTCTGGAAGGTTTTCCAAGTGTTGCTTTTAATGTAAGAATTTAAACAAATGTTTCATAGGTCATTGTTCATACTTATGCTAAGAATGGACATAGTTTTCTCTGTAAAAAATGAGTAGTTAAAGTGGAAGAAAACTGAACAGGCTGTGGGATAAGTTTTCATCCTTATACACATACACACACTCAGTTACATGTATAAACTCACATACACATATTACCCTCACAAACACACATACACACATGTGTAGTATTCCATTTGTTAGATCATTCATGATTGTACTTCTGTACTTCTGTTTACAGAGAGCTTAATTATACTATCTTTCTGATGATCAAGAAAGCTTTTAGGATATGCAGCATGTAGGCTGGAGAGATGACTTAGCCATTAAAGGCTGAACAACCAAAACTAAAATATACAGTCTATAGGATCAATTACAGTAGGCTGCAATTTTCCATTCTTTTCATTTACAAATATGTCATTGGAAAAGGAATTATAAAAGCACATTTGAAGAAAAAAAAAACTATACCTAAACAGTAAGACACCCAATGAGAGAAAACACAGCCCATCTTAGTCATTTGTGTTTTTGGAAACTCCCCTTTCTCTTACCTGAGTTGTCAATGCATTCTATAATGTTGGCATTACCAGGTGGCATTTGGGGTACACAGATGGTGGTTATACCCTAAAAGACAAGAGACAATATTTTCCCATTTGTAATCTCTTTTCTTCCTCTACTTGTACATTTTTATTCTAAAATTACCACAGATTTCCTAAAGGAGGACTATTTAGGAAGCTTTTGAATCCTATTTAGAAGTTGAATCTCATTTTAAAGTCTTCCCTGGTGACTTCTACTGAGTTTTGAGGAACATTCAACCTCAATTGCTTTCCTCAGTAGTTACCCAGAACCAAGAATAGTGTAGACTAAACGATTTCCACCATATTAAGCCGTGTCCAGAGACTAAATTTTGATGAGTGCCCAAATCTCATCCTTATGGATTAGCACTTACGTCGTGGGGTTCGGGCTGTGGACCTTCTACTGCCCATGTGTGGATTGCTCCATCAGAACATTCTGGAACAGGTTCAAATGCAACTCCACCACCGGGGGCGCCTCCACAGTCACAGCAGAGCAACAAGAATGGGACCACTGAAGGAGAAAGAGGAAAGGGTTAGCACTGGGCCATGTTGAAAGAGAACAACCTGGTTTTCAATGCTTAGATGAGAGTCTCCAAGCTGTATGAATTTAAAATGACTACTTAATATGCCAGGACAAGTTAATAATGGTTGAAGCCTCCCCCCTCAAAAAAAAAAAAAAAAGCATGAGCTTGGAAACACTAGACTTCAGTGCATTTTAATTTGTTTTATAGTACTAAAATTACAGATGAAATCATACAGTTAAAATAGTTCTTTTTGCTATCATCACTCAAGAAAACAGCAGAGACTGAAGAGAGTTGAGGAAAGCACCGCTCATGATCTTTCATGTCTGCACACACTCTTCTATTTTCACACATTTCCCTTTCTCGACTTTAAGGGGAAATCTCATTCAATTAGTTATTCTCATGAAGGTCATTATTACAGAGACACGTTTTCTTTAAACAATTCTCACATAGATAGAGACTATCACACTGTAGCAATATCTTTTCTTTCTAATCTGCTTTTCATTCATTTGCTATTGGCATACAATCTTGCTTGATAATTTTAAAGGAATATATAAAAAGAAAGGATGCATAAATAATTGAAAGAAATAAAAAAGAAAATAGGGAAGTAGGAAAGGGAGGATAGAAAATAAGAGAAGGGAAAGAAAAGATTGATGAGCTTTTCTCTTTTGGAAATCTGTAAAGCTGAGAGAAAAAAAGAAATGTAAAGTTGTTGCCCTATAGCCTTACGGATACCATTGAAAGCCTTTGTTAGCCGCACTGTTGGATGTTGGATGTTGATAGTTAGGAAAGTCACTACCTACAGCGATTATCATCAGCTCTTTGGTATTCAGTTTGCTCCAATAAAGCAAGGAATTGACTACAAAAAGTAGAGGATTAGCTTTGCTCCTAAGTAGTTCACATTCCATTCTGCAGATTTCTTAACATTCTTACATTTTTCTTGATCTGGTTCATTTTAATTAAAAAAAAAAAATCTATTTTTGCACTCATTGTTTTCCTCACAGAACTTTTCCTGGTTTTTATTTTTACTTATTCTGAGCCAATAAGGATGAATTCCTGTTATTTAACACTTCCTTTTTTTTTTTTTTTTTTTTTTGAGAGAAAGTGCTCAACTTTAAACTGTGCTCTCTGTGTGCCCAATTTCTTTGTGGTTCATGTTGATGAAACATTCCAGGAGGTGAGTTATTTAAAGTTGGAAGCTCTTGCTCTTCTCCCAGCACCCACATGGTGACTCACAAGCATCCACAGGTTCAGTTCCCAGGGATCTGCCACACCCCCTTTTCACCTGTGCAGGCACCAGGCCCACGTGCTTTACGTCTTATACACATAAACTAAACATATATCTTTTATAAAAGTGAGAAGTGAAGGCAGAAATATTTTAAAATTTTTGTATGTGAGTTCTCTCAATGTACACTTTGTGAATAATTAATTAAATATGTGAAGGTGGTTTCACCACCAAGATTTCGTGATTTTATACTTGAAAGGGTAATTTTTCACATTTTTGTCTTTATTTTTGTGTATTTATACACATTGGAATTTCGCTGTGTATCCCAGGCTTGCTTCAATCTCACGATCCTCCTGCTTCAGCTTCCCAGCTGCCCGGATGGTAAGTGTGGGCCACCATGTTCAGTTGCAAACGTCGACATTCATATTAACTTAATGACATCATCTATGCTTCAAGATACTATTCCCTTTCCACTCCTGTTTCCGTCATTCCACAAGTCCACCAGGAACGTCAACTGGACTCTACGTTTTTATTTCTGTCCATGACTGAGGCTACTGTAGTGGCCGCAGGACCCACCGAGGGGCAGACGTCACCTGTGCCATATTTCCCCGTGCAGTGGTGTTGTGAGGAAACTGTTTTGCAGAACAAAGGCAAAGCTCAGAATGGTTAGGTAATCCTTGGAAGACCTCATTGTTAGGTTGAACACCTGGACTGTTTGGTTGTTTTCATTGAACCTTGCAGCCTTGCCTTGTAAAGGCTCCCCCCAGGCTCCGACATCCGCCTGTCCTCGGAGCCTCATCCCTTACCACACCTGGATTTCTTTCCCGTGGGTGTTCTGTTTCAATGTGTCATATTCCCTGTCTCTTGTGTTAAAAGTCAACTCGCAGTCCAGTGCTCCCTTCCGCTCCCTGCACCCCCCCCCCCCCGCCTTTCCCCTCCGTGGAATCCTTTCTGATTGTTTCAATAGATTATTTCTGATCGTTTCACCCAAACTGTACTGTGAATGTGTGTGTCATGACTCTCTGCTGTGACGTTGACACTGGCTGCAGAGAAGCTGCTGTCCTCCACAGTACCACGAAGGGTCTAAGAGTTTAATTTTTTTTTCCTCCCCCCAAGCACAAAAATTTCTGGATAATTACACAATGCGAGAGTCTGCAAAATATATTTCATCAAAGAATAAGTTAAAAAAAAACTTATTTCTTTCCCTATATTTCTTGGGAGACACATGTCAAAAGAATTGTTGAAGCACTTACGTCCTAGGACTAAGAATCCCATGATGAGCAGCCCGATGCCTGCTGGACCGAAGTGAACATTGTCTCCGGCTTCGCCGACTTGCCGCGAACCGTCGTCACCTTCGCCTCCCGACTCCGGGTTTGTGATGTGCTCAGGTCCCTCGGTAGAAGTGGTTTGATTTGCGTAAGGCTCTCCTCCAGAGGTGTTACCAGTACCGGAAGAGCCGCCGCTACCGGAAGAGCCGCCGCCACTGGAAGTGCCGCCACCACCATCTTCTGTGTTCTGTTCATAGCCAGAGCCACTCAGTTCAACGATGACTGTTCCAGTGCAGGTCCTCTGAAGAGAATCTGTAACAGGGTTCACAGCAGAAGAAATTGCCGTCTGTACCCAGCCTAGCTATCGTTAGATTACAAGTGTCCACTGGCCATGTGTCGCTTTGTGTGGGGGTTCTGGAGACTGATGGAAAGTAATTGCTTCCCCGATGGACGCATCTCCATAGCCCTTGTACTCAGTTTTTAAGCTGAAAGGGTTAGACTAACTTTGTAACCTGTATGTCTTCTAAAGCCTATAGCTTTGAGTTTTAGGTTCAGGTTAAGCTAAAGCCTCTTAGTACCTTTCCAGAGAATGGAGGAATGTGACGCTATCTGTGAGGACAGATATAAAAAAAGGCAAGCAAACAATGACCTTCACTCAGCAAAAAAAAGGACCAGACCCTTGTCTTTGAGATAGCATTTCTTAGCAACGAACCCAGACTTCTTCTGAGCAGCTTTTGACCTGCAGCCAAAAGTCTACAGCCCCTAATCTTCAAGGATGAGCTAACCACCCCCACCTTAAATTGCAGCTGCATCCACACTTGGCAGGACTGGCCAAGCTTGAGCACCTAAGACTAACCAATTATCTTACTTTATAGCTTCCTCATCCAATCCTAAATTGCCAAGACTGCAACTTCAAATTTCCCTCAATTTTTCTTTTAAAAACCTAAAGGCCTTTGTCTCCCGGTGCCACTCTTTGCTGACCAGCAGGGGTGACCCCATTGTGCAATGGTTAATAAACCTCTTGCTTTTGCAACGAGTCTTGGTCTGGGGGAGTTTCTGGGAAGGGCTCGATCTTGAACTCCTGAGCTGTGAGACCCCAGGTCTTACAAAGCCAGTCAGTTATTGTATTATTAGAATTAACCTTATCGTTATTATAGTTTATAGTGTTGCTAGCTAGATATATCCAAGTTGAAAATGCAAAAGTACAGAAAGATGTGAAAACCAGAAGCTAACCCACAGCATCAGTACTTGAGGATAATTTTCTAGATTCCCTTGAGATCAGTTGTCCTTAGTGATAAGGCCCATGTTGCCTCTTCATGGCACACTGATACAATCTTCTGGTTCATTCTGCTCTGAATGGGATTTGAGTTGTCACTTTAAATTGTATGCACTCCTTCATGCTTTAGTACACATTTAATTAACATACTCTCTGATGGGTACATGGTTTTATGTGAAATGGACTATAGTTTCCTTCCTCGGTAACCTGCCGATGCTCAATAGTAACTGGCAAAGAGAATGCTCTATGCAATCAGCCTTCTATATTTAGCACTTTCCCAACGATTACTGGGAATGGGATTATCAAACTGGATTAAGGAAATGAACTGAGGTTTGTATTTATGTACTATTATGTACTATTACACAAATATGAGCCTTGCTTTCACTGCGAGAACCGTGGCTCCTGGCACAAAGGCTGGCATTTATTTAGTTGAGGCTCAGTACATACTTTTGGAATAAAGGAAATAAAATCTCTGGAGCTATGCAACAGGTCTAGGATCCAACAAGCAGTAAATGATGGGGCAGGACAGCCACCCAGTCTCACCACAGTTTGCACGGCCTTAGCCTCATGCTAGTGACAATTTGAGTGTACAGTGTTTAATATGATAACTTCTATTGAAAAAATATTTCTTTACAAGAGGACAGTGAGTTTTGACTTATCTGAGGCCATTTACGCTTGGCTTCCTCTGGAAGGAAGTTAAATCGATTTCTTACCATCTATTGATAACACTGTTCCTTCATATCTCCCATTAAGCATTCTGTATTGTTCCATAGTAACTCTGTTTCTTAACGTTATTTTGCCTGTTCTTGAGTCAACAGCCAGCAGGTCAGCTGGGTTATTTCCCATCACGTATCTGTATTTAAAAGAATACAATAGCAGTTAAAGCTATTTTTGAAAGAGAGATTTTGTAAAATTACTTTTTAAAGGTTAGTGTACAAAATAATGGGTTTATTGTGTCTTTTCACACATATGTGTCTCATGCTTTGTTCTCATTTATTCTTCTTCCCTCCTGCCTACCTCACACCTCCTGCTCTCTGGCTTGTTTCCCTCCTTCCCCCAAATAGTTCTTGCTTCCATGACACATGTACTCCATTACTCCTCTATTCCCCTCTGCCTTAAGACTGCTCCTTCCCTTCTCGTGATCCCCTAAGGTTATAATTTTAGTTGGAAAACACCATTCTTACCTAACATTTGTTGAAGCTCGGCCTGTGTCCAGGTCCGTAGCTACAAAGTCTCCCACTTGGTAATTTGCTCCCATTTTACTGTTTATTACAAATGTCTTTGAACCTGGCCTGAACACTGAGCCCTCTACGACATTCAACACAGTCACAGTGATCATAGTTGCTGTGAGTTTATATTGAGAAATAATTGACTGATGGAATTCAGCCACATTTCGAACACCAATACTGAGTTGTAGATTCTGCATGGCTTCATAATCTAGGGGCTAGAAAATACAGAAAGAATTATTAATTTTCCTGCAAAAAAACATTTCAGAGAACAGAGACATCCTTTGAGACTAGTCAAAGTAATTTTTTTTTGTTTGTTTCAGTGATTACGCAGTCTGGTCTCAATTGCTGGGTATTTAGTTCATGGTAGACACATGCAAACATAGTAAGGAAAAAAAAAATCTAGTTGTCCTGGATCCTTTTTAACAAAAGATAAATATGAGTCCTGATTGCTCACCAAACCAGGTAAATGCTTAAATTCAACATATAATCCAATTCGTTTATTTTCAGTGTAAAGACAATTTATGTTAGCTGACAGCATTGCGTGTTTCTGAGAAAGCGGCTCTTTTTTTTTTTTTTTTTTTACCAAAATATATTAGAGATCTAATCATTTAACTAATTTTTCCCTGAAGAGCTATTAAAAATCATTTCAAAGTGACTTTTTGAATGTCAATGTATGTGTATGTACATATGTGTTATATATGAAGAAATACTTATTTTTCTTCAATATGTCCTAAAAATTAGTTGATACAATGAAATACTTAAGTATTAAGTTTTTATAGAAGTTGATATCCAAATCCACAATTCATAAAATTTACCAAATAGCTGATGTGTTCCCCATGTAGCAAATATATTTTCCTGAATCTTATGAGTATTTTAAATAAAAATATTCATACACTGAGCTCTCTTGTTTATCTAAAATTTTGTATTATAGAATTAGTCTTATTTGCAACCTAAAATGCCAATTATAGCATACACACATATATATACTCACCATAATCATATTACTTCTCTATAACCATAGTAAAGAATTTGATGTTTGTTATCCTATCTGGGAGAATTATCCTAGTTTTTAGGTACAGGTATTAAAAGCAGGTAAGTTAAGTAATTTTTAGAGTAATACAAAAATGAGGGTGTATAGATTCAAAACTAATCTGCTTGCATCCAATCCTAGATACTATCCCAGAAAAATGAGTTTAAGGATAAGGAAACTTAGGTTTAGATGTCTGTGTCATTTACTAGCAATAAAAATTAAGACAGGTTGCAGGCTCTTTGAGCCTCCACCTTTTTTTTTTTCCCTACAATATGGACTTTATATAATTAGATTTTCAAGGGTTCCCGGGGAGTTGACCAGAAATATCTGGAAACTGTTTCAAGCAAATGGAAGCAGTCTTGGTGAATGAAATGTTAAGAGACATGTGAGGTATGAGAACACTCTTCCCAAAGGAACTCAGTCCAGTGAAAATCTGCTTCGTAGGGTCATTCTGAAAGGCAGACTACAGCAGGACTAAGGATAAGTCCAGAGACACCAGGGTGACAGAGCTAGGGGAACCCTGGGCCTACACTAAGAGGCAGAATCAACAGGGAATGGTGGGGCTCCTGCAGGATGAAAGAAAGAAGTGCATGAGGAAGTATTGCAATGTAACTCGAATGATTCAGATTGGGTGCATCATGAGCAAGTACTGAAGACTAAAAATGTTTGTACTCAAGTCTTGAACCACCAGGTAAAGACTTTACTCTCAGCTTCTCAGGAGTCAGGTTTTAACCTTCCATCTCAGAGGATGTCTTACTGCTTGTAAATGTGGTGACCAGTTGATACAGAGGAGAGATAAAATAAGCCTTGGCCAACGGCCACACTGAGATGGGACTGTGAGGGCTCTGTGATTCTACAATTGTCACAGTTTAATTCCAGAGGAAAATGACAATGGCTTAATTTTACAATCCTGGAAAAAAATCAACTTTTAATTTATCTGATGAATATTCTTAAAGCATAATATTAGAATTTCAGTGTTGGCATGGGCACATTTTTAAAGTCCATGGTAAATCTACTTTTAGAAATATTGTTTAACTGTTGACTTTGGAGCTGGAGAGATAGCTCAATGGTTGGGAGAACATACTGTCCTTGCAGACCAAGGCTCAGTTCCAAGGACAGGCACAGGGCAGCTCACATAACTTCAACTCGAGGGGATCTGATACCTCTAGCCTCTGAGAGATTATGTGCACATACCTCTGTACAGGTGCAGAAACCCATATATGTAATTAAAAGTGATAAAATAAATCTTTAAATAAATACAAACAAAACGTTAACTTTAAAGGTCAATCTTTTTTGGGTGTTTGAAACCCTCTTATAGATATGCTTTCCCCTGACATGATCTTTGGGAAGAACTGTATTGATAAAAAGAGTTTCAAAATTTTAATGCTTATTTTCCTGAGGTGATATAAGCATACACATTTCCATTAAAGATGTTTGTATTTTACATAATTTTAAAAGCATGGTAATATTTGTTATTTCATAGATTCTTTTATAAAATGTTAGTATCATTTTAACTTTGATGTTTTGAAATAGAAAAGACCAGCAAAACAAGTTACTTAGAATAATTATGCTATACCTTGACAACCTTCAGAATTCCTACATTTGTTCTTTCATTCATTTCTATTTCAAACCAATTCCCCTCATTTCCAGAGATGAAAAAAATGACTGCCTTCCAGTTGTCCGAGAATTCCTCATCCAAATCAATGACTCTGATCTGTTGTATCCCAGAGTGCAGTGCATTTTCTTCAATGCGGATGTCATACTGAAACAAGAGGTAAAGTATGAGAGCAAAGCACAGGAGACACTCATGTACCAGGCTGCCCATGGCATGTTCATAGTTAACTATTCAGAAACAACATCCTTGCTCATGATCGCATACTTTGTTGTTCCAATCTCCTTTTCCTACTGAAGAAACAATTCAAGAGAAAGTGTCTACACTGGTGTTGCAGATAGCAAATGTAGCAAGTATACTTGAAAACTGACGGGTTTCTGTAAGAACTGGAATGCAATGAATGTAAAGTTATTAAATCTAGTTCTCAAGAACCAATGCTTACGGATGATTGCTCCAAGTATGGGATGTTGTCATTGACGTCCAGGATTCTGATGCTGCACTCGCATTCTGCAGACATGCCGTCTGCCCCACCGTCACGGTCCGAGCCTCTCACGGCAAGAGAATACTGGCTATATTGCTGAAAAGAACACATTACAGGCGGTGTCACGCTAGGCATAGACTGCCTTATGCAAAGGTCTTTTAAAACACTGGCTCAACATTATGCTTACATAACTCCACAGCAGAAGACAAAGTAACGGAGAAGATGGCAATCTACAGGCCTCACATCACTCAGTGTGGCTTTGTCACTTTCCAGTGATGTTTGCCCAGCATAATCTCAAAGAAGCAACAGTTTGTTAAAGACTTCATTTCCTATTTGTTGTATGTCCAGAGGGAGGAAAAGAGTATAAAGGGTGAGACAGGCCAAAGTGTTCAGGAAGAGAAAGCTGTGGTTCATTAAAGATGCATGGCATGAAATTCCATGCTATCTATGAGCAATGAGCCACCGAGTGTTCAAGACAAATACAGAGATGTCCAGTAGCAGGTGAAGTGTGGGAAATTGAGTCACTGATGCTGTTTCTATTTCAGCATCTATTAAGTGGGGCCTCCACTTTTAGAGGTTGGTGAAAGCCATGGGAGCTTCCTTAGACTTGTGCACAAATATATTATTTACCATTTCTGGGTATAACTTTAGCACATCTCATCATTCCAGAATCCCCATTGATGGTGGAGGGCCTTTACCTCCAACATCCTTTCTTACAGAGCTTTACTGCTAAAATTATTTTGGTATTAAGAGACTTTTTATTGGGCTATGTAAAAAAAATATGAGAGAAATGGGAAAAGCTAAATAACTGAATCTTTTCTTCTAAAGGTGGTTTTCAAACAAGTGAAAAGTGATCAAGTAACTTAAAAACATTCACAGATGTGTATAGGTTTAAAGCAGACAAAAGCTTAGCACTGAGGAGAAGTGAGCGCAAAGTCCCACCCTAACCAAGAAGCTATTTGCAATTGATACCTGCTGGAAAAGAGAAAACAGTTTCCACCAATGGAGTGCAACTGGACATAACAGCCACAGTCCACGGAAAGTCCCATGTTCAGGAGTACTTGACCAACATAAAACAGACTCCTATTTGTGTGCCTGTCTGAATTTGTTTGTTTTAATATTTTTTATCTTATAAGTGCTTTGTGAGTTTATTGTGCTCCTTGTTTTACTTTGAGAGGAAGAGAGAGGAGAGTGTGGATGGGTAGGGAGAGTGGGTAGGTAAGTAAGCTCTGGGGAGGGCTAGAGAAGGGGAAAGAATATGATTAAAAAATAATTTGCAACAATGTTTTAAATTAATTTTTGGTATAAGATGGATCAATATGTGAATTTTTTTTACCACAAACCTAATAATAACTTGAGAGACATTCCACGATGGAGGGAGAAAACCAACTCTCAGAAGTTGTCCTCTGACCTTCACAAGCATGCACATGACCACACACACACACACACACACACACACACACACACACACACACACACACATAAATAAAAACGTACAAAATTTGAATGCTTCTTTTAGTTTTTCTCTGTCTTAAGTGCCCGTACTTTTATAATTAGTTCCTCAGAATAAAACTCCATTAAGATACAAAGATTACCTCTCTGTCTAGGAAATTATTCATCGTTCGGATTTCTCCACTGTATCGGTTGATGATGAACATTGGTGAGTCCGAAGGCTCCTGTCTTATGATCTTGAAAGCTATCTTTGAGTTCAAGTTATTTGGCTCATCTGCATCAGTAGCGTTGAGTCTCATTACCAGTGTGTCTGGAAATCAAGGGCAGATGGCACAATTGGACAATGAACGTTTTTACAGTCCAATATGTTATCTATAGCCACACAACATGCATGCAGCTATCTTCTATTTGCACAACATCATTGTTCACTATATTATATATTATCTCCTTCCATTAATTTTGTCCTAATAAAAAGACCATATAAGGTTTCTTATATGGTTTCTGGTAAGGTTTCTGGTACTCTGCCCAGAGTTTGGCTATGAGTCTCAGTGTCTCCTTTGATACCCCGGTAGGCAGAGTCTTTCAGAGGTCCTCTGTGGAAGGTCCCTGTATTGTTACTTGTCTTCTCCTACTTCCGATGTCAATCTGTTTGCCTTTCAGATCTGGAGGGGACAGGAACCCCACAAGGAGAACAACAGAGCCAAAAAAACCTGGGCCCAGTGGGTCCTGCAGAGACTGATACTCTAACCAAGGACCTTGCATGGAGGGGACCTAGACCCCCTATTCAGAGGAAGCCCATAGGCTGCTCAGTTTCCAAGGGGATTCCCTAGTAAGGGGTAGATACACTTTCTCTGATGTGAACTCAGTGGCCAACTCTTTGATCACCTTCCCCTGGGGGTGTGTGTGCAGTATTTCCAGGCCACAGAGGAAGACAATGCAGCCAGTCCTGATGAGACCTGATAGGCTAGTGTCAGATAGAAGGGGAGGAGGTTTTCCTGTAACAGGGGATTAGGGAAAGGGCATAGGGGGAAAAAGGGAGAGGGTGGGACTGAAAGGAGATGAGGGAGGGGGCAGCAGTGGGGATACAAAGTGAATAAATTATACTAAATAAATAAATAAAAATTTAAAAAGATCATATTTAAATAGGAGCCTAGACATTACTGTAGGGAAAAAGGAAGCCTGTTATTCCGATTCTTTGTTTTTTATTTTAATATAACTTCTTTTAAACAGATGCTTACACTTAAATAAAATAGCATTAAAACCAATTAATGTTTTCCCAAGTGTTTTATATGACCTTATTTCTAGTCACATGATCTTTTCCTTACTTCTCATGGTTATAAATGAGAATGTATAAATAATTCTGTCCTCACAAAGTTCATGTGAGAATTTAATAGCAAATGAGAATATTGAGTGATGTTTATATGAATAATGCACTTCAAATAAATATCATTGTCCACCTTGGGCCTTTAGTAAGTGGCATTGCTGTTTACACTGGAATTGGCTCTTGTGTAGGTGCTTGTAGGGACTGTTTGTTTAACTACATTCACGGCCCTGTCCTTATCTTCCTTAATCTAATAAGTAGTTTTGATAAATGATGCTAGTGGGCAACAAAAGCTTCAACATTTATTCATCAACTGGAATTCTGTTCTACTCTCTAAATTGTTCCCAACACAATTTTCTAGAATGCAAGCACATTTTATCCCTTCTCTTTTCTCCTCTTTGCCCTGTGCCATTTTCTCTCTTTTCTCCTTTCTCACTTCTCCCTCTTGGCTCCATACCTCTTGAACAATCTTCAACCATGTGCAAATGGCTAATATACTGTCCCACTTAGGTGACTGAATTTTTGGTAATTAAATGTGTAGGTACAGGAAGCCATAGGGTAGCAACTGTACATTGAGATTGTCAGAGGCCTTGCAGAGAAATGCTACACTGGAATAGATTCTTTAGTACCATTTCACCATTTATGAGGTATACTTCCAGCACTCACAGTGAACCACATGAAATTACATTTATAATACATTTCCATTGTATAAAACTAGCATCTTGAACAAAGAACAAAGAGAAACTGTGCAGTTGGTCTCTTCAACAGTGGGTTCCAAGCCCACAATAATGAATGGAAAAATGCAAAGAACTTACATTACATTTGACTGGTTATCTAAAGACTTTTTCATGTCATTAGCTTTTGTTATCTAAGAAACATAATATAGTTAATGTTTATATGACATTTAGTATTGGACATACAATGTATCTATCTAGAAATAATTAAAAATTTGTGAAGGAATGTAGGTGAGTTATATGCAAGCAAGACATCATTTGTAAAAGGATATGAACTCCATAGATCTCTTTATATTTAGAGGTGCTGGAGCCAAACCCAATAGAGAAGGAGGGATGGCTACATTTGCTATAGCTTGTACGAAAAGTGGAAGCATGATTTCTTGGCATTTATTATTAAGAAAAGCTTTTAATATTAAAAGGGATTACTCGGAAACAGACATCTTTGAATGACTTTAAAATTATCGACTTCTTTCTGTTTCCACTATTCGCTCCTCCCCCGCCCCCAGTTTCTACTAGGTGCTTTCCCTCCATCCTTCCACAAGCGTGCCTTGGAAATGAATGAGAACACATGATATTTGCCTTTTTGCATCTGGAGTGGTCTATATAGGAGTGATGAGGTTTATGGTGCACGAGCTCTTCTGGGTTCTTTATTCAGTAGAATAGAGTAACAGTCTATGATAAATTTAAACATGATTGCAAAAGATGTGTATGGAGTTCCCCAGTGCTTACTGGTTGAAGACACGGGAGGGCTCTTGATCCTTGTTTGATTTTTATGCACTGTAGTGGATGATGTACTGCCATAAAGAGGCACATTTCTTACATCTGGACAAAAAATAATGCGAGAGGCCCAACCCCTGACTCTATTAATGATATTCTAGTATCTTTGAAGACAGAAACCTAGCATAACTGTAGTCTGAGAGGCTCCACCGAGCAGGTAATGGAAACAGATGCAGAGACCCACAGCTAAACATTAGGCTGATTGTGGAAGAGTTAGGGGAGGAATTGCGTGAGCTGGAGGGATCAAGGACACCACAAGAAGACCTACATAGTCAACTAATCTGGGCCCATGGAGGCTTATAGAGACTGAACCATCAACCAAAGAACAGACATAGGCTTGTCCTAGACCCCCTACAGATATAAAGCTGATGGGCTGTTTGGTCCTCAAGTGAGTCTCCTAACAATTGGAGCAGGGGCTGTGTCTGATTTGAACTCTGTTGCCTCCCTCTGGATCCCTTTTCCCTAGCAGGGCAGCCTTGTCTTGCCTTAGTGAAAAAGGAGGCACTTAGCCCTGAGACAACTTGATGTGCCAGGGTGAAGTGGTACCCAGGAAGGAGGAAGTATGGGGGAAGTGGATTGGAGGGTGGGGCTGGGAAGGAGAGGAGGGAGTGAGGTGGTGAGTGGCATGTAAAATGAACAAATAAGTAAATTAATGAAAAAAATAAATTTAAAGTAAGGATGGTGATCACACATGTGAATGGGCTTGGCTTTCAATACACTCAGCCACAGAGTAACTTCTCCTCCCTCTGAGCCTGTCACTACTGTGCTGCACGCCCTGTTGGGATTTATCACAAGAACCTCTAAGGAGCTAGGGCCTGAGGAATGAGCATTAATCCCAGCTGTTGCTTTGGAGGTGCTTCTGGGCTGACACAGGAGCTATTTCCTTAGTTGTTTGTTCTAGAGGCTTACTAGATTCTCTCCCAGTTGGTGATGTTGACTTTAACACAGCTCAGCCCAGTTGCCTAGTAACAGTAATTTAGACATCAACACATAGTTTCTTTCACAGTGCAGGTGACTCACTTGCATTAGAATTTTCTTCTATTTGTCCTAGGAATGTAGTCATGGAAAACACGGGAGGGTTGTCATTGATGTCCAAAACCCTGACTCTGAGTTCCAGTGGGTTCTCCAAATCTTGACCTTGTGCATTCAGAGCTCGGCAGTAGATCTAGATAGGAAAGAAAAGGATCTGTGGCAAGGCATGTATTTGTAAGTTCTTACAGAATGGAGGCATTGCCTTAGTACCACAGGAGCAAGGGACAGCATATTATTATTATTTCCCACTGAAAGACACACATGCGCAAAACATACAGTCAATAAGAAAAGGCAAACAAGAACATAAGATGCCAGGTAGAAAAGCAACCCAACACGTTAGACAAAGGGCATGTTGCATATTCTCTGTCTAAAATCAAGAAAAAGAGAACTAGCTGGAGGACATGGGAGAATGTTGTCAGAAGAGACAGAGGAGCACTTTGGGAAAAAAAGTGGCATTCTTAAGTGTTGGGATGGCTATGTGGCTGTTTGTTTTATCATTACTACTTCCATTGTGAAGACGTATAATGTACATTGTTTTGCAGAGATCATCTGCTCTGTGTAGCAGTGCATTGTTCCTCAAGGTAGACCAGTTTGCTGATTTGGTGACTTTGTAGGGAGACACGTGGAGGGAAGGAGTCAAGAATACAGATTTGGACTTAGAGGCTAAAGAATTAAAGTAATTCTAGGAGTGGAGATGAGCAGTGTGAACGAAAGCAGCAAAAACGAAGGGATGTCTGAACGTAGTTTAGAATATGATTTTTTTTTCAGGACTGGGATTGTACCCAGGCTTTTATACACAGGAGGCAAATGCTTGACCACTGAGTTACAAAGAATGAAAGAAGAGAGAGAAAAGGTCAGTTAAGAATGAGCGAGTTTCCGAAGTTCATTTTGAGCTCAGATGAGCTTGATGATGAGGTGTGTTCACATGGAACAAATAGTCTCCAGGAACACCAGGGTCGTCACCTGGCTGTGGAGTTAAAAGGAGGTATCAGTTTTTACTGATTTTTCTCTTTTAAAGACTGAATAAAAGCTAAATATTTGTCAATCCAATCAAATATTCTAATTTGTCCTAGAGCCGATGTAAACTAGCATTTTTTGCTAACACATTAGGAAAATATCTCTATTAATATTTCCTCATCTATTGGGGTAGCTGTAAATTAAGAAATCTCAGAAGACCCAGTTTTGGGGCTCTTAAAATCAAATATGGCACAATCTAAGATTTTTCCTGAGAATAATTTATACCTGCCTACAGATACTGACACAAAGCTCACTTACAATGAAATAGGGGGTGACTTCCCGATCGACGATGGATGTTATATTGATTTCACCAGTTTTTTGATTAATAATGAAGATTCCATAAGGTGGCTGGTCAATTCCTACTCCGGAGATACGGTAGGTCACTGGCTGGTTTGCAGCACAATCTGAATGAATCTGTACAAAGACATGAATGAAGATGCTTTAGGGGTCATGTGGACTTCTTCATGCGACAGATGACAACTGTCTTCCTTGAGAACTGTTGAATGTACTGTCTGTAACATCACTTGGGAGGTTTTGAAAACAGAGAAGTACACTTGCAGTAGTTGGTATTTTTAATCATAAATAGGAATGTGATAAAATAATTCCATTTCTATGTCTACCGAACAAATGTCACCCTAAGAAGTCTATAGATGCTGTTCAAAGATGCCATAATCGTTAAACATTTATAGTTCTATTTTCATATTAGTTTTGGACTCTCTGCTAGTTCTTTTTCTAGAGTAAGCTATTGCTTGCCTCCTCAGAGAGTTTTATAATGCAGTTTTCACCTAATGTTGATCTTTAAATTAAAAAAAATATACAGATTCAGAAAATTATTTAAATAAATTTTGTAGTATCAAGCTACTTGAACCTTTTAGTTCTGGAAGTGGGAAGGAAAAGGAGAAAGCCCACCCCACTAAAGGGCTAAAGTCTGGCTTTTTCTTCAAGATAAATGGTGTATGAATATAAGTAAATCTTACAAGGGACTTGCCATTGTATCTGTAAGATTGGCTGTTTGCATCTGTGCTTGTATCTGTGTGTCTGTGGGTGTGAATCTGTGTGTAGAAAGGGAGTAAGTCCCCGAGTTTATGCTTTTGTGTATGAAGAAAGGAAGAGAGAGAAAATGAGAAGAGTTTGGGGTTACAAATAAGGCAAGCTCTTAATGGTTACAAATATGGGCAAATAGGAGTTAAGTTCTAATAGGTTATGAAGTGGAAAGAGCACATACTCTGAGCATGTTGAAATCTCAATCCGTTTGAGAAGCATCGTTCTTTTGCAGTCTAGGTGAACAAATGTTCGTGTATCTTACTTTTGCCAGTGAGAAGAAACAACGATTAACCTTTTATCCAAGTACTCAACTTTTTTGGTTTATCCCTTTCGGAATTTTGTCTTCATAATTTGAATGGGGAGGAGCTGTTAGGTCACACCATTTTAGTAAAATGTGTTCACAAAGGACATGAGAGCCGGGCTCTTCCAGAACTGTGACCTTAGCCATTGTGCTTTTCACATTCATTCTCTGGGGTCGACACTTACTTTGGCAATTGGGTTTCTCTTTGAGTTGTCTTCTCCTTCCCGACAGGCTGCAGCGAACTTGATCCATTCACGTTTCTGCCTTCTGATGGAGTGCCACTTGATGGTACCATTTTTGGCGTTATAGTCTCTTACCTTAAGTAGGTAGAGTAAAATATAGTGTCTATTAGCTATTATTTATTATTGGTAGTCTACTGGAGATTTTGGAGGAAGAGTAATTATGTCAGGAAGAGAAGACAGTTAAATGGAAAATTAAGAATTTTGATAATTTTAATATTTCTAACTATAACATTACAATGATTTTGTATTTAGAAGGATGAGGGTTTTCTTGAGTATATGCTGTCATTGCTAATCCATCTTTCTTTTGTTCTGCTCCCTCTCCTTCCATTTCCTTCCCCTCTTCTTTTGTTTTTATTTTCTTTTGTTTGTTCACTATGTGATTAAATCAGGGTTTTGTTTGTTTGTTTGTTTGTTTTTCTTGTAGCCCAGATAGCCTCTAATCCACAATCTTCATGCATCAATCTTGGGAGAGCTGGGATTATAGGCATATACAATACTATCTCTTGCTCTTTTGTTTTTCAGTTTAGAAAAAAATAGGTTTGCTGTATCTTACCTGAATTTGGAATTCACTGTTAACTTCAAGCACCACCTGTAAAAAGCAGTCACAGTAGTAAGTTTTAACCGTTTTAAATTATTTATTATTCAACAACTAAGAACACTTAAAAATAAAACCAAACAGTACAGGTGTGAAGTAAATTAATGGCACTAAATATTCCTTAGCTATTCCTTGCATTAAACAGAGCTCTGTTTGAGTTCCAGATTTGAGTTTTGCATATAACTTGTGGGGAAGTACCAGCATATAGCAAATTATTTTTATTCTAAAAATTGTGGTTATCTCTTAAAACATGGACATTAACATATCAAGGTATATGTCTGTATATTTATATAAGACATGGAAAATGTATATTTAAAAATTAAGCATTTTTTGCATTCATTATTCTATATTGCACCGAGGGTCAGTTCATGCGAGTGTATACTCTTTAAGTTTTGTAAATATCTTTCCAAATAAGACGTGTTCAACTTCTAATTGCGTTTTTTTTTTCATAACAGTAAAGCCTAAAATCCATGCTTATAATCAGACTTTAGCAATGATATTAAATGCTATAGTGTGTATTCAAAAATATGAATATTAATACTTTTTAAACACAGTGATTAGCATTTCATAGCTGGTCTCAGTTTCATCCTTAAGGGAAATATAAATTTCAGTTTCCAAGATGTTTTGAAAAACCTGTCAAAATAGAAAAGTTGAAGAAAAACAAATATGTATTTATGGTCAACATGAGTAGCATGAAGAAAATTATTACCCATAATATTATGTCAGTCATTGAAATTATTACCATTGCCATTAAGTACAGAACAATGTGTCCAGGGAAATCTGCACATTTACATTGTCATTACAAACAAAAGCCATTACTAGTATTATCTCCTTTATACAAGTGAGGAAACTGAGGCCTAGCTACCAACTTATGGCAAAATGCCCCTCTATACAGTTCAGCTTAAATACTTGTTTATTTTAAGATCAGGTATAAGAGAGCTTATTTTCTCAAATAAATTAAGTGAAACATTTCCACGAATTGATATTACATGTTTGAGAACTAAAAGTTACTGTTTTGATATAATCTCATATTACCCATATTGGTGTTTTGGAGTGTGTGTGCATATGCGTGCATGTGTGCATATGTGTGTGTGTGTATGTGTGATGTATGAGCACATGTGTGTTGGGGTGAATACCTGTGCTCATGTGCAGAGAATAGAGAATGACAGTGAGTGTCCTGCTCTAACACTCTCAGCCTTATTCCTGTAAGCCAGGGTCTCTCAATGAGCCTGGAATTAGACTGGTGGCCAAGCAGCCCCGGCAATCCTCTCCATCTCCACAGAAGTAGGGTCACAGCATTTGGGGGAATACCCAGCTTTTTATGAAGATGCTTGGGCTTCAATCTCAGATCCTCACCAATGAGTAGCAGCACTGCTCTGACCTACTGAGCCATCTTGTCAGCCCCACTGCTAATGCTTATATAAAAATAACAGCAGCAACAACAGTGACACAAGGAATCCACTTAGTAGGGTTTACAACTGCAGCGTTGTTTATAGAGGCGAGCTTGACTGCAGAATTCGCTTGTTCCAGTGGTTCTTGCTGCCTGTGACTTTTTGGGCACTCTTCTCAGTCTAGTGCTTGTGGGTGTGACAGGGCTGCGGGGCTGTCTTATCTGCCTGCTCGGACATCATTTCTTCACAGCTGCAGCCCTTGTTTACTCATCTGCTATCTGTACTTCCCTTCCCTGAGTGAAGTGCCCGTGCCTGCTGCTTTGGGTAACTGGCCAGATGACTAAGAACTCTGCCCAACTTTATGAAGCTGGGTCATTCTTTTTCCCATGAGAGGCAACTTAGGCAGAAGACCAAGTAGGTTTCACCACAGTGTCAGAATCACAATTGGATGGGTAATTAAAAAACTGCCTAGTCTGCTTTTCGAAACATGGTGGGTGAGTGTGAGCGTCTTCTTCTTCTTCTTCTTCTTCTTCTTCTTCTTCTTCTTCTTCTTCTTCTTCTTCTTCTATCACAATGTAGAATAAACTCAGATACAAAGAATTAGGCTTTTACAGACAAAACAATGACATGGAAAAAAATCACTGGATAGTGTAAAAGCTACATATATACATATTAATTCTATATAAAATTTTATATGAAAATAGTCTAATATATATATATATATATATACACATACATACATGTATATAGAAATTACTATACTTATTGTCTGAGTTTTATCTCATTTGAGATGTGGGTAGGCAGACTCCACACAAATACCTTTCCAGTCCTAATAGCAAATCCTTGTGTGCCACAGAAGGATATTAAAGTATTTTGATCATGGGAAAGGCATTCTGAAATTATAGGTTTGAAAGATTACCTGGACAAAAGTTGGTAGAAGCAATGGGAAGACTTAGAAATTATAGGCTGAAGGCCTTTGGGTTTTACGCACCAATCAAAGTAAAGAAGAGGAAGAGCTAAGTAGATGCAGACGAAGTGGGAGCCATAGGGAAAGATCAAGAGAGAGAGTCTGGACTGACAGGATCCACAAGTTTAGAGAGCCGATGGGATGGGAGATAAAGAGCTGGAGGGATCCCTGCAGCTAGTCGACCTAAAGAGTGGGCCAGGACTGGAGGAAGGAGAGTGTTTGAGGTGCTGGAGGAATGCCAGATAAAGACATGCAGCAATTCAGCAGAGCTCTAGCTTAGGTTTGTAATGCTGAGCTGAGTCCACTCAGGCAGAGTTGTTGAAATCATGGGAGAGTTAGATATTTGTAAAGCTGAAGATTCAGTAAAGAAACAGCCTGTGGCTGAGGATGGCACAGGGAATGCCTACATTTGTTTAACTGGGAATAAGTGGAATGTGGGATGTGGGGAGGTGGGGGTGGAGTGGTGGGCGTGGTTGTGAAGAGGCAGGATGGAGGGGAAGAGATACACAGAAAAAAGAGAGCAAGGAGGAGAGGAATGAAAGAAGGGAGAGAGGGAGGTAGACAGCAAAAGGCAGGAACAAAGGGTGCCATATAGATTGGAGGAAATAAAATGACTCATAGATGTCAAAGAAGGGGCATTTTAGCACTAATGGACATGAAGGTCAGATGTTCTTAAAACAAAACAAAACAAAAAACCGAACTGTATGAAATTTGAGGAAGTCCTGAAGTTTCTGATACCTCCCAGAGTATATTTTCAGCTAGACAGGACAAAGATTGGCCATAGAAAAAGAGAACAAGGGATGAAAAAATGGAAGACATAAAATTACTTTCCCAAGAATTTTGATGATAAAAGAAAAGAGAAGAACAAAATTATAGCATTACATGTGGGAATCAGGAAATTTTTGTTTGAAAGTTGAGAAGGCCTTTTGTTTGGGAAGAAGCTGTTTAAAAGAGGTGTGACAGTTAGCAGGAGGGGATAGGCTGGAAAAGAGCAAAGAGAGTGAGGAAGGATGGGGATTATGATAAAGCAAAGTCAGAGAGCAGTTGTTCTACATGCCCTAGCATAGGCATGATTGGTCATTTTCTGACAACGACGGAGTAGCATGAACTTAGAAATAATTCTGGAATTTGCGCAAGGTAGACAGCAATGGCGTCCCCCTAGAGACATGGGTTATCATGCTGTTCAGCGAGACTCTGCTCTCATGCCCACTGGAAACCTAATCTGTCTGTGCCTCAGTCTCATCACAAACCTTGAAAACTGAATTCTTCTGGAGTCGAAAAGTTCTATAACATCAGCCAACAACTCATCTCAATAAGGTCTTCCTTTCAAACCTGCTTCCACAGCCAATCAAAATATAGTTATTGCCACAGGATGTAAATTCATGGCACTTTTAATGATTATTCAGGTAAGTGAATTTCAATAAGTTTTTTTAATTAAAACTTGTTCAAATATAATAAAATTTGACTTAATGGGTAATTTTTATGAGGAAAGTCTTTTGTATTTAATAATAATGTAGGTAGCGGCAATTTGTTGAATAAACTGTCATCTTTAATTGTTAGGTACATCAGAAAGATAAACTAGAAAGAACAGGTAAAATAGAATGTGTTTCTTTACAAAACAGACAAACAAGCAACAAAACAAAAAACTCTTCTGCCTTTCTCTTAGATTTCTCTGACAAAGGCTTTGATGTTGGGGTTGGCCATGCATTAGTGTGCTAATTTCTCATGTTTTTTCACAGTTTGTTCATTTCTTTGACAAATGTGTACTACAAGGGTCTAAGACAGCATGATGGCTTTAAGGCATTTCTTCTCAACCTGTGGGTCATGATCCTTCTGGGGGTTTAACAACCGTTTCACAGGGGTCACATATTAGATATCCTGTATATAGGATATTTACATTATGAGTCATAACATTAGAAAATTACAGATAGGAAGTAGCAATGAAGTAACTTTATGGTTGGGGATCACTACAATGTAAGATGAACTGTATTAAAGAGTTGCAGCATTAGGAAAGTTGAGACTCTGAAAGTCCTGGTGAGCTTTTGTTGAAATTTCAAGTGCATACAACCACAAACTGTTGGGGAAAAGGCAACATGATTATTTCCACAATGACTATCTCAATAGTATATATTTTTGGAGTGTGTGTAGGAAAAGAAATTTGATCTATCCCCAATTTCCCTTTTGGGGTTACTTCCATGCAGTGAGACACTGTGGAGCAAGCAGTCTTGTAGTGGCTGGGAGAGCTGTGAGTGATGCAAAGGTTAATCGGACATGGGGCTTGCTTTCAAATAACTTAGAGTCAAGGGTTTCAAAAGCAGCATCCAGCTGTTAATTTGTAGGAATATGATTCTTATTAGACAAGTATTAAAAACTGTACTCCATGCTCATAGAGCAATTAAGAACATGGATCACCAGCCATTGGCATGAGAAAAGTTGGACCTATCTAAGGCCATGACAAGTATAACTAGTATGGGCAGCATGAGCTGGCACCCTGGAAGATGTTAACTCAGCTGAAGGAGCAGAAGAAATTTAACCACAGTGACCAGCAGACCAAGCCTCCTGCCTATACATTAGGCAACGCCTATTAAGATGCCAGGATTTTCAGCAACAGAGTCCTTGTCGAATGCGGAGTAGAGAGATATCAGAAAGCAAGTGATGTACACGGAGACCAGGGTGGCAGAAGCATCTTCATTCATCTTTACAGCATTCATGCTATAGTTATCCTGTCATCAAAATGCTTCTTTTCACACGGTCACAGCCCTGACTGAGCAGTGATGGATTTGTGCTCCCCATGTATGTTAAGTGGAAAGAAGATACTACCCCTAAATTTTCAGCGAGAAAAGAAAGCTTCCACGAGCATCACATTTGTGGAGACAATCCTGCTTAGCTACAGTTTGTCTTTCACTTTCCAGAGGACTAGAAACAACAGTTCCGTTCCCTATAACACACTGGGTTAAAGTGCCCCCCTCTGCATTGTAACATATATGTAGAAGAGCATCAGGGTCTCTTCTGGATTGGCTTCTGTTTAGTCTATAGCAGCTGTTTAGCCCTTTTCTTGCTTTTAGTGTTAGTGAACAAAAATAAGGGAACTTAAAATGTCTTGCTTGCCTAAGTTATTAAGCTACATCATAAATGAGTAGCATTTTAGCCCTTGCTTGCATTCTTAAAAAGTTCAACCAAGTTCACATTGTGGGGCTAGTTTATTGGGTGTTTAAAAATTTTGCTATTAATTAAATAGAATAGTAATCTCATAAAAATCTCATAAAAAGGGTGGACTAGAGGCTGATCTAATGGTGCATGCTTTTAACCCAAGCATTTAGGAGGTGGAGACAGGAAGACATGGAGTTTAAGACCAGCCTGGGCTACCTAGTGAGGGAAGGCTAGATTGAGCTGCAGAGTAAGGCCCTGAACAACAACAACAAAAAATCTAAAATAAAACAAAACCCCAAACTGGGACTAGAATGATTTTTGCTAACAGATAAAAGAAGGTGTTTCCCCCTCTGTTCTTTGAGCTTATCATACAGAAGTTGCCTCTATAGAAAATGATGTCTTTGGATTTGACTTGTGTTTAGAAGAGTAATCAGACCTGACAACTTTGCGGGTGAATTTTCCAGCAATCACGAGAGTTCTCAGATCCCACTGTTTTCTTTCTCACAGAGGCTGTGGTATTCCCTTTGTAATTTTCACAGCCATCTGCACAGATTTTCGTTTGTTTGATGTACAATTAACACTGTTTTCTGACAGGAAAATAAATGCAACTACTCCCTCTATACATTGAGATAGATAGATGATATGTAGATAGATAGATAGATAGATAGATAGATAGATAGATAGATAGATAG